TTTTCCACTTTCTTTTAAAATCTCTTACTCGTTTTTAGAAAAAAATTGCTTCTTTTGAAAACTTTTCTCAAATCCTCAGTTTGAGTCCAGACATACCCGAAGGTGTATCCGAATCCCTCAAACCAAGGCTCTGATACCAACTTGTAACGACAGAAAATATTCAACCAAAATTTTCATTTTTAATCTCATAAAACACATGTCATATATTTAAACACCAAATATCAGTCAACAAAGTTTTCAAAACGTTAAATCAAATCCAGGATCCATGACATAACTCCGTCTCAACTGTGTGTGTGTACAATCATGCCGGTGCCTTCCCGCGGTCCTCTGAAGTACCTGAAACACATATCACATAACACGGTAAGCACGCATGCTTAGTGAGTTCCCCAAAATACCACGCACATAAAATTAGCCACTCGAGGCTATAGCTCTACGAGACCTTCCGGTCAATTGTGTCTCAGTGGGACCTTCCGGTCCCACAACTCTGGTAGACCTTCCGGTCCTACCCATGATGACCTTCTGGTCCTAACTCTGTTGACCTTTCGGTCCAAACACTGTTGACCTTTCGGTCCAAACCATGTAAACATATACATATCACATAGAACATATATCACATAACACTTATAAACATATAAGACCTTCCGGTCACACATAATTACCACTCCAGGTAAGGTATAGTGAGAAGACTCACCTGTCAACAATCGGATAGTCTCGAACTCGTCTCACCAGTCTAGCCTCCGCCTAACATACACAATAGATATCCCTATTTAATAACAACACTCACAAGGCCATACGAACCCTTCCTATGTACTCACAGAAGGGTAAAAGACCAGTTTACCCCTCCATGGGTCTAAAAGTCCACTTGTTGACCAAACCCTAAAAGTCAACGAAAGTCAACAGTTTCGCGTACGCGGGGCGTACGACCCTCTACGCTGGGCGTACAGCCTCGCCATGCATCGAGGGATCCTTGACCATACGCTGGGCGTACCAGAATTACGCTCGGCGTACGACCCAGTTTTTCCCTTTCCACTTATTTGGTCTTAACCCGTTAAGACCTTAGCTCCAATCCCAGATCTGGACTTCCTACAGGCTCTTACTCCATAAAGTCTGAGACTTTAAGCCTTTGCATGGCTGAAGAAGTCTCAAACATTAAAACCCCCATTCTATGCACACAAAAGGGCTCATAACTCATGCATGGGGTGGTTATGATGTCCAAGATCCCATTTTTATGATTTTACTCTACTAAGGACACTTTAAGGAGCAGGTATTAGGTCCTGGAGTTGAACAAACTCATAAAGTTCCAAACTTTGGGACCAAAACCCTAAAATGGTCCAAACATGCACATATCAAAAAGATGAGAAAGCTTTGAGCTTTTTACCTCCAGCAGATGCTCCAACCTCAGAAAAGCTTAGATCCAAGGCTTGCACTCCAACTCTATCTTCTTCAAGGCACCTCCTTCACTATAAGAATATCTCAAGGTTACTTCAAGCTCACAAATGGACTCTTAGCACAAGGGACGAGATTTAGGGTTTATGAGAGGGTTGGAGACTGGAAATGGTGGCCAGAAATGAGGCCATCATGTTCCTTATATAGGGCTCACCCCTCATTTAGGGTTTTCATCCTGAGCCTAGTACGCCCAGCGTACTGGGTGATCTCCGCGTCAAGAACACGCTCACGAGTACGTGTAGCGTACACTCCTGTACGCCCAGCGTACTCGATTATCACATAATCTTCTCAAGGACTAAATTGACAACTTAAGGAAAGAAGAAGGGCCAAAGAGATATACCTGATCCCGGGATGTTACATTGTTTATTCTTTTTCCTATTACAACATTGAACAGTGAAAAATTTACCAGTTATAGCAATGTCATCCAGATACAAAAGTGTAATTGGGAAGATTTTTAAAAGTACAATTCCTTTAAAAGAAAAAATTTGGAAGTGCAATGCTGTAATAGAAAGAAATGAAAGTACGTTGTTGTAATGGGATAGAAATATCTTAAACCAATCATTTCATATGGTTCAGCAGCAAAAAGAAGATAATGGTATCTTTTGTCAAAAGATACGACTCTCTACCCATGAAGCATAAAGGAAACCGATTATTTAATAGGCTAAATGCAAAAAATAGCAATGCACTTTCATTTCTTTCTATTACGACACCGTACTTCTATTTTTTATGGCATTGTAGTTTGAAAATATAACAAATATTGAATTGTACCTTAAATGTTTCTTTCTTGTTATATCGGTAAAATTGCTTTGTGTTTAGATGGCATTGCTATAAATATAGTTAGCAGAATTTTCTCATTAAGGCATTGTACTTTCAGCTTAATCTAATCATCTCATATCTCTCAATGCCTTAACTCAAAGTGACATAAATATAAGTACTTTTTGGATCCCTTGGTGCACAAGTCTTCCTTATCACGAGCTAGCTAGCTACGGATGAGACTTGGACGGGAGTCGGACATGATAGTTGTAGTGCCATTACACCTTTTCTTTGTGCAAAGGTTCTGCTCCAGTAAATAAGCTTTGTGAAAAACTATATCACCATAGAAGTTTGTTAAACTTTTTGCTTTTTGATGTGCCGTGATATCGAAATATCCATTTAAGTTTATAAAATATAAGATAAGAAATTATGATGACATTGGGTGAAGTGTTTTTTGTACTTTATATTAGACTAGGATAATATTATGAATATATATCCTAGTCTAATAGTTTAAGATAAGGTCTACCATTGGTGAATCTACTTATTGAAGGAAAAAAAAAACTAAAATGTAAATCCAAACTTTGGATCATTTCAGTCGAAGAGCTTGACATCTACCTCCTCTAATAAACAAAACCTTTAATGTGCCACATGTCCCCTTTCTACCAAGCTAACCTGCCACGTGTCATTTTCTGAATAATTCATTTATTTTTGTACTAAATAAATCACAATTTCATAAATATTAATGTAACCCCGATATTTTTTCTAACTTGATGCAATTTTCGATTTCATATAACATTCAAATTCCATGTTTTTTGGAAATAATAGCAATTTACGTTCAAATTGCAATAGACTTTCCATGTTCAATCCTATAAATCGGCAACTTAATTAGTGATATTAGGGAAATTTGAATTTTGAATTCTACCTTCTTATTTGAATACACTAGAAATCAGGAACCAATGCATCCTCTTTTTTTGTAATTTGATAACTACGATGGCAATATATGATGACTAATCGTAAGACTTTCTAGAGTTAAAGCTTCGTTTTGTATCTTTCCTCAACTCCAAGACTATCTACAGCCACTACCGCTCACCATGTTCTTCATCATTTGCCAATCGGTAAGACTATTCTCAGTTTGTACTTATCTTTTTTAAAACTTCAGTTTTAACCAAAAAATACGTTTTCATGGAATCGATTTAGTTGGTAATAGATTTGAATGTGCATGACAACTGTTTGATAAAATGCCTACATGAACATGAAGTGAATGATATCTTTGATCATTTTCACATCATTATATTCTAAAAAAATCTAGCAGTACCCAATACAAAGGAATGTTTACTGCTATAAATATTAGGTAGATTTTTCGAAGTACATCGTGTCTTACATTTTGATGAATGGTGATTTTTTATTGTGAAAACTGTTTTGTAGGTATTATTGTTGTTTTATATCATGAAAGTATGATGCTATTTTAATATCCAAATGATACTCAAAATGAGTATTTTAACCATTTTTATGTTGGGAAATTTACAGGAAATACCATCATATATCACTCATTTTAGCAATAGAGGCAATTCTTCCATTTAACCTTTTCTTTAAAATAATATCTTTGAAAATTGTAGCTTAATTTATAAGAAAACATAGTAGTCCAGTTTCTAAACCTAGAATAGTGGAAATCTAGAATAGTGAAAGTACGTTGTATTTTTCTGTTTTTTGAAGTTCATAAGAGCAACTACCATAAAACGCTCACTTCAGATTGTTTCCATGTCCAAAATTCCTTTCTCTTAACTAATAAGAACCAATTTCTGGTGCTTTTTGTTATGTTGTTGCTACATTTTCCCAAGGTACTTTTTTCACCGATGGAAATCCCTAAAGGCCCTCAACTAGATAAATGATGGTACATTTTTCTTCTTCCATCTCTTTTTATATTTTATTAATCTGAAGGTTAGATACTATCATAGGGTATAATACAACAAATGCAACATACTTTCCTAATTACCAGGTTTTGAATAAAGAAAAATTACAAAAAAGGACAACCTACTTTCACCATTTTATCTGTTTACCCATCAATTTTTTATGAATAATTTTATTATAATAACAGTTTAGCGGATAAATTGATAAAATGCTGAAAGTACGTTGTGTTTTTTTGTAATTTCCTTCTTTGTAAATTTTCCTGATAAAACAGGGCAACAGGAAAATGTATAACTGTGAAAGAGTTAATCACAGTAGTAGAAATGTTAAAATGGGAAAATAGTTAAAATGGTATATTAATTTATCTTACATTTTGATGGTTTGAACAAAACAAATTTTCCAGGTGATGAAGAATGAAAACGGAGCATTATTGCCTGGTTTATAGACCTCTAACAAAGAAAACGATTTTGTTGGAAAAGTTAGCATACTACTTTTTTTCAAGTCTAAATATTAAGAAAAATATAGCATCGGTTCATGGGAAATTTCTATGACCTCATATTAACATCATATTTTAAAATTTTTTAGTTACGTCATTATGGGATGGGATTGACATATTTTTGTCAACATGGGATGTCAATAGCAAAATTTGTTAACCTCTTAAGCACCTAAGTATTGCTAAGTTTCACTATGTAATGGTTTTGAAATAGATTTACTTATTTATCAATTATTGGGTTTCACTTTGTTTCTTTTTTTAGTTACTTCTTTTTAGATTTAACAAACTAATAATATGAAATAGTTATTTTAGAACAAAAACAAAAGAAACCATCAATTTCCTTATGCAAGATTTCTTATGATTAACTAAATTTAAAATTAGACATAATAGTTAATAAGAATGTTTAAATTAACTAAATTTGAAATTAGAGATATATTTTTTGATATTATTTATGTTATTTTAATATGTCAACCGTGTTGTACACGTGTTTTAAACTAGTGTGGGATAAAGGTCTCTAGAAAACAGGGATACTTTGTGGGTGCCTTAAGAAATTCTTGGGATCAACTCTGGCCTTGATCCGAATCAACTTCCTGAAATTGCTTCTCTTCCAATACCTTTCTCCCCAAACACTCGCTTCTTCATAAGTAGCATTTCCAACACCCAAATCCAGATCCACATAGTTGGAATACGCCTCCCTTGGGTTCTTTGACACATAAGGAGTCAGTAACTTCTCCAAGCTTCGCAACCATGCGGTCCTCCTGAGCGATATAGGGGTTGTGTCTGAAGTTTGGCCATTAAAATTGACATTCTTGAACAACTGGTACAACACCCCAGCTCTATGAGGATATGGAATTGCTGTCTCTGAGTACTCCGCCATTCTTCCACCAAAAGGATTGCTTCCCAAAAGCTCTGATCCATCGTTTTCCAAAATTTTTCTCCAAATCTTTCTGAGCCCACTTATAGGGATCGGCGTCCGAACATAGTCAACTTTACTTATGCTGTTAACCTTGGGAATAGCAGATCGGTTCGTGACAATATCCACCGTGGTAGATCTTGGCACACCCCAAAACAAAATGGTGGACTGGAGTGTTGTCATCTCTTCACAAATGTCTTGTGTAACACCTAGCTCTGGAAATTTTTGGTCCAGCAACGAAACCAATGTGTCGCGTGTGCCCTGATAAACTCCTTGGAATGTAAGCACTACAGTTTTCTTAGTGGTGTTGCCGATATATCGGCCAAACATGAGAGTTCTTATGTGCAAATTTCTATCAATAGCTGGTGCAACATATTGATATTTATTGAAAATTTTGGTTGCCCCTTGTTCCAAAGTTTTAGTCACTACAAAAACAGTAACTTTTTTTGGAACCGGAACCAACCTCAGTTTCCATGCAAGAACGATTCCGAAACTAGAAGCACCACCTCCTCGAATTGCCCAAAACAAATCTTTTCCCATGGACTTCTTGTTGAGAACATTTCCATTGACATCCATGAAGCGGACATTAAGAACATTATCAGCAGCAGTACCATATTTCCTCATATGGTTTCCATAGCCACCACCGCCCATGTGTCCGCCAACACCTACCCCGGGGCAAAGACCTGCCGGAAAAAACAAGGTGTCGGACTTCTGAGTAATGGTGTAATAGAGTTCACCTAGCGTAGCGCCTCCCTGGACCCATGCAGTCCTCTTTGCTACGTCCACTTTTATAGACCTCATGTTGGTGAGATCAATCATAACAAATGGAACATCAGCAGTGTATGAGAGGCCCTCGCCATCATGCCCCCCGCTCCTTATTCTGATCTCGTAGCCATGTTTCTTGGCGCAATATAGAGTCGTCTGGATCAGTGTTTCTTCCACAGGTGTCACGATGATTGAAGGTTTATGAGTAGACGGTTTAAGGAACCTAAGGTTTTGGACTGCGACTTGCCAGATGGGTAGGAAAAAAGCATTCACAGGGGTGAAAATGAGTTTAGATATGGAGGTTACATTGTTGGAGTTGGATTGTATGCAACGTATGAAATCTTCAGAACGTGGAACATAGGATGCAGTTGCCCACGAATCAGAAAATGAAAGAATTAGAACCACAAAGATGAGAGAAGATCTTAGTAGAGAGATCTTCATGTCTTGGTGAGTTTGATGTATTGCACTGTCGAGTTTATATAGCCTATAGAGAGCATAGGGATGGAGTTAGAAAAAGGGTGGATGCATATGGTGTTGGAAAACCCCCTGGATTAAAGGAGGAAGGATATATGGTGGTTAATATTTATATCTTCAACCTTTTAGTTTTGACCATTGACGAGCTACCTTTTAACGTGACTAACAAGTTTATGTAACATTATACTATTATTTTTCTCGAGCTCCAATGCCGGATCAACAATTTAAGACACTTAAGCAAATTAAACATCAGGATTAGCTAGAGGGCTTTAAACAAGGCATATTGCAGATCAATTCGATTATAAATATATATATTTTTTATCTTGTGATTTCATTAAAACATGTGATAATTATTGAATATTTGTTTTTTTAGTGGAAAAACCCTCACCGGGCTAGTGGCCTTTAGTATAGCTTTAAAAGTAACAGTACCACACGTCCACACCTAATTTTACGTAATGCCATCGAATCGAAGCATGTGAACCAAGTTATAGCTTAGTGCCTGGTGAATACATCCTTTTAGTAAACGGGGAACTTTTAGTTTACTTTATACTCCACCAAATAGAATTCTTAATTATTCAAACGACATACAAACAATATATTAAGGAAAATGTAGGAAAATAAAGAAGATAAAATATTTACATGGTTCACAGACTTGGTATCATATATTGTGCTACTTCGAGCGAACTAGAAAAATTTATTATTGATATTAGGCTGGAGTTTACAATTACATTGAGACTCTATACAGGGGCGGATGTATGTGGAGCCCGGGGGGTCCCGGGCCACCCCTCCGATTCGGTTCGTAAGTGTAAATTTTTTTTTAGGTGCAACCCCTTTGAATACCGCCACTACTATTTTACATTTATTCGATTTTTTTGGGTGCCACCACTATTGAATCCGCCATTGACTCTATATATAGAGCTAGGTACATAAATCAGTAGGATGTTGTGTTTAGTCCTCTGGATATTGCATTTTGATTGTTACAACAAAATATACAATCTTCATGTTTCAATTTCACCTATGATAACCTACTTCTCAAATTTTGCAATGGCTATGTATGCTTCTTTCTTGGTTACAAGAGCAAACATTCTTGTGAAGTGTGGGCATCCAACTAACTGTATATCCTAATAGTGAACACATAACTTGTAGCGCCACTAAAAGAAAATTTATGGATAGCTACATAAAGTTTCTACAAAAACAAAATCTATAGCTACTCTGCTATATGCTACTGGTATGGATGTTTTGGAGCTAGATGAAGAAGTTGTGTATGGATGTTTAAGATTTCCATGCATATTTTGGGGGTAGCGTGGTCTTACAATAACACCAATGTAATTATTCAATGACATATTACAAGGGCATGATGCAGAATACATATTTCCGGTGAATATATACAATACATGATATTATCTTTCAGAGGGTATATATCCTGAACGCTATGATAGTTAAACGTTTTCCACATCCAATTAACCCAAAGAGGACCAAGTTTAAAAAAAAAATCCAAGGGGATGAAAGAAAGGATGTTGAGAGAACCATTGGTGTCCTTCAATCTCGTTGGACGATTGTATGAGGTCAACTCAAGAACATAAAGGCAATGACGAATCTAGAATAAAATAGCATGTGGTTCCTAATTAAGTGAAGACGGAAAAACCAAAGAGTCAACGCTATATGTGACAGATTGGGTCGGGTCGAAACAATAAAAAAACGACCGATTTGTAAAACTCGAGTTCAACCGAACCGATAGAACAACTAAAAACTAGTAAAATTGGTCTACTTAACCCTAAAACCTGATTTTTGCAACAAAAAATACTTTGCACGACCGAGTCTCTCTCTCTCTCTCTCTCTCTCTCTCTCTCTCTCTCTCTCTCTCTCTCTCTCTCTCTCTCTCTCTCAAGAGTTCATTTGCAACAACCATTTTGTACAACCAACAATATGAAAAGAGTTGTGTTGTTTTTTAAATTTCCTAATAACCATTCATAACTAGTGTTATAACCGTCCGGTGGACGGTTGACCGTTGTAATAAAAAATGATTGATTTTACTATATTGTATATCATCATTTTGTAATTTGTTTCCATTATATATTGTATTATGAAATTGTTTTTTTTAATTATATCGATCATTTGTCCAATTATTGTTATATCATACATATATAAAGTTGTTTATATTTAGGGTAAACTATAAAATAACAATTGACCTTCAAATAGTTGTATATTATAACATCATACTTTAATTTCTTTCTTTTATGTCCGATTTTTATAAAGTCTCAACATAAAGTAGAGTGTTATTATAACCATAAAAGCTTGATGTTATTATAATCAAATAAATGTTTTGTTACAGTAAAGCTGCAAACATACTAATTAGGTGTCAAATTGAATTTATCAATTTTAAAACATAATGCACCTTTCTTGAGACATTTCTTCTTGTCCTCTCTCCTTTATATGACTTGCCTCCATGGAATTAATTTGCATATAGTTGACTGAAACTTCTCCTTTTTAACATTATTTAGTCGTTTTTTCTCATTCTTTAAGCTGCAGTTCCAAAACAATGTTTACCAACTCCTATTTTTTCTCGAGAGAAACACATATAATATTACATATTCTCGTTAAGCTTATTACCATCAAACTGGATAAAGATTTACCTAATTGATGAGGTGATCATAAACACCTTCAAAGGCAATAGGAAAAAACCAACAACAAAAGTACACGACTTTATTTAGAAAAAAAAGACTATTCGATCCAAAACTAAAGCAACCTACACAGTCAAATATGTTACCATATTAACGAATAGCTTTACATAACATTGATAGTTTATCTGTATCTGTATCTCTATATATATTAAAAGAGAAACCCGATGACATCACCTTTAACAATCAGGGTCACTCATTGTGTTCCCTTGATTAATTTCACCCCTTTAAATGATTTTGATGATGTCATCCTAAAATAAAAAAAATTAAATTAATATTGACTAAATTTGAAAGATTGACTAACTGATTTAATGTTAACGTCATTTATAAAAGGAATGCATTCAACTCATTTAAACCTCATCATAATTTTTGAAAGTAAATTTTGTTCCTTCTTAATTAAAATCACGTTCTTAGCTGACACATTTCGTATGTTTTTTCAATTCACATCTATTATATGAAACATATCTACAAGATTACAGATATTGTCGCTCAATTTCAAAGAATCAAAGAATTCAAAATTTGATATCCTTTCCATAATCATTATTGAAAGTTATAAATAAATCATGTGCTGCTGTTTGTACATTATGTTTTCTTCAGACCCTTTGCAGCATCACGTTCGAACAACATCACCCTTTGCAACATCACGTTCGTCATCCAAGTTCCTTCTTTAATATGTGTTCTTAATTTTTATTAATTATATTTGATTTTTTGATTCTCATTAGTGTCATCCAAGTTCCTTCTTTAAGATGGTCAATCTTGAAAATAGCATAGTTATGAAAATTTATAAAGTAAGATAAAAAATTATAAGATATTAGGACATTTGTAAAAAGTACAATTACTAAAAGCTTTACGGTTATTAGAAAAAAATAAGACCGTTAACATTAGTAAAAATGCAATATATAAACTAAATTATCATAATAGTAATGAAATGTCATTATTTGATATTTCATATAATTGAAAGATATACATCAAATTACATTGATAATATACCAAAATTATTCAAAGTTGCGCCAAGTCTAATGCAAAGTTCTTGTGAACATCAAATAAATAAGAACAAACATAAAAGCTAGCACTTATATTCATAATCAATTTAAAATAAATCAATCATGATTTAGAAAACAATTTCCATTGATGATATATTAAAATTAAATCCATATAACATTTAACATTCCGTAAATTATACTCTATCACTTTATTTGAATAAATGATATAGTTGTCAATATTTAATGCAGAGAATAAGCCATAATACTCTTGTTCCTCATTTTCTATAACAACAATTTTTCCATAAATCTACATTAAAAAACTATTATCAAAATCAATCCTCTAAGTATTATGTTTCATAATAAAACTAACTGATTAAAGATCTGCCATTTAAAACCCAAAACTGTTACCATCAGAACATATCAATCCAAGGACTTCAACTTCTCTTTTTTAACTTTATTTAGTAGAGGGACAAATATTGTAAATCATGTTACAACGAAAATAACTAAAAATTTAAATCACAAAAAGATTGGTGATACAATATCTATTTTCTGGATTTAAGAAATTCCAAATAGGATTAAAAATTACCTTTAAGTATTTCATGTTTGTGTATATTTGTTTAATTCCCAAAGAAAGTATAAAATACTCACAAACAAAATCATATGTATGCCAAGGTGGAAACATGCTTAAAAATCTAACCCCATGCCCTGTAGGGACAATGTTTCACAAATTATGAACCTAAAATGGTATATAAGCATAATAAACGTGAAAATTTGATCAATTGAAAGGAGATAAAGAGACATTTGTACCTGATGCAAAAGATTACTATGTATACGCATTACTCCTTTTGGATTCCTAGTGGTCCCACTTGTGTAAATAAGAGCAACACCATCCTCACATTTGATGGGTTCATAAGCAATTTAGAAAAACACAATACAAGCTATATATAAAAACTTCAAAAAAAAAAAAAAATTCTGAATTTGAAGTCCCTGAGTTGATTAGGACACAGAAAAAAAAAGCATCTATCAGTTAACATTTGTGTGAATAACCATGTATAGAAAGAATATGAGAACCGATGTTACTTAAATGTGCTTCCTAACCGATCTCTTGGTTGTTAATCCTCCCTCACCTGAGGTTCAAACCCACACTTGAATCTCAAAAAAGATTAAAACTTAAGAAAACAATAAGAGTTCAAAACTGGGTCGGAAGGGGAGGCAAAAAAAATACATTTGTTGAGGACATTTCATCGAATACCTTACGTGCGTTGTGATGTCCTCCTCCCCTTTTCAATTTATTCAAAAGGAACCAATAAGGGATTCAAAATGCAGGAAAGATATGCGAGAGAGATGCATATTTGCAAAATGGGAGTAATTTAATTCCATTGTCATCTGCAATAAAAAAAATCGATTGCAGAAGACGCAGACAAGAAGAGAGGTTATAAAAGGAAGAAAAAACATGAAATTGAGGATTTGGAAGATGAAAAAAAAGAGCAAACCTCGAGTTAATTCCTTCTACTTTTCGATTTCTGTTCCAAAACCTCGGTAGTAAGATCATTTATTTCATGTTGATGCACCGAATAAACTCTATTGTTAATTCCTGCAACAATAAGTGAAACCGACCTCTTATATAGCCAGGACAGTTAAAGAAAACTGCCTGATTTCTATCAATCAATGTAATCGTGTGTTGCAGTTGTTTAACAGTTGTTAAATCAAATCGAGAAGAGTGGATTCGTGGGCTTCAACCGATCAATGATGAGCAAAGAAGGAGGAAAGCAAGAAACCGATAAAAACCTGTAAATATGGAGTTATTGCAGTGAGGATTTCATCTCAAAAAGATCGTACGGTTGAAATCGGGGAGGCGGTTATTGACTCCCAGACCTTAGGAATATTAATAATTTATTTTTTTAACATCAAATAAATTCTAACTCTCTTTATTTCCATGTGTGATAGTTTTGAAAGTATTAACTTTGCTTTGAAATTTAAGTATAATTACTCCATTATTTATTTATTTATTTGTTTTTTTATATTGTCAAATAGTATTATGTAGGTCCTAATTTGTTTTTAAAGTAGTTTCTAATTTTTTTTTCTATACAAATACTACTAGTATATAAAATAAAAAAATTAGGTAGGTTCTAGGACTCACCTTGTTTGTAAATGGCTACCCCTGCATAAAGGATGCAATGTATTCATGCATTGTACTGTATTATATAATATAATTGTAGAAGATGAAGGAAAAACGATTTGTTAGTGGTCGGATGATGTTCATCCTTCAATTCGAATGTATCTTGTAGGCCCTGCACACAAAATTCAATATCAAGTTTTAAGAAACTCTGAATTGTATGATAGTGAAGTGCACTACTTCAATTTGATTTAATTGGGCTTATTTAGGAATGTATTTTTTTTACAAAATAACCATCAAAATTAATATATAATTTCGTCAAGAGTCATGTAATAAAAATAGTATTATAGTTCGTGAGCGATATAAATTGGAACCCTATGAGTAGTTTTTTTAAATTAAAAACTGCAATTTTTTTGTCTTTATAATTTATTAATTCTTATGATTGATTTTTTTTATTGTACTTAATTCATATATGTTTTGATAAAAGATTAAGTATGTATGTATCAATCAAGGGGTACAAAATGATATTAAGGCATTTGTGCAAAATAATAAGAGTTTATGCAAAATATTGTCTTTATAATTTCATTATCATCGAAAATTAACAAAAAAATCATGATAAAAAGGTGATATATACAAAATGTCGAGACATCCAAAATTAAAAAGCTTGAAATCTAAAAAGGACAAAATAGTTAAAAATACATTAACAGAAAAGTATAATACCTAATGTAAGACATTTATTTAAGGAATAAAAACTTTATTTTTTCACTGAATAGTTCAATAAAGTTGATGTTATGTGAAAATAGACTGTCCGCTGGTTTCAAAGGAAAAAAAAGAAACAAATGAAGAAAATTCGTATTTTTTATCTTTCTGCAACCAAAGAGCTTCACATGTCGGAGAGTGATGTTGAGAAAACCGGGATACTTTGTGGACGTCTAAAGAAATTCTCCGGATCAATATTGGCCTTGATTCGAATCAATTTCTTGAAATTGTCCCTCTTCCAGTACATCTCCCCCTAAAGACTTGCTTCTTCATAATTAGAACTTCCAACACCAAAATCTAGATCCACATAGTTGGCATAAGCCTCCCTCGGGTTCTTTGATACATAAGGTGTCAATAAAATTTCCAAGCTTTGCAACCAAGCTATCCTCTTAAGCGACGTAGGGGTCGTGTCTGAAGGTTGACCGAAAAAGTTAACAGTCTCGAGCCGAAAAAGTTAACAGTCTCGAGCACCTGGTACAACACCCCAGCTCTATGAGGATACGGAATTTTTGTCTCTAGAAAATCAACCATCTTTCCACCAAAAGGATTGATCATTAGAAGCGTTGCTTCTTCATTTTCGAAAAAATTTCTCTAGATCTTTCTGAGCCCACTTATGGGGATCGGTGTGCGGACATAGTCAAATTTAACTTGGTTGTTCAACTTGTCTATGGCAGATCGATTTGTGAGAATCTCAATCGGGGTGGAGCTTGGCAAGCCCCAAAACACAAGGGTTGACTAGATGCTTCTGATTTTTCACAAATCTCTTGTGTAACACCAACTCCGGAAAATTTTCGTCCAACAATGGAAGCAATGTATCTCTTGTACCCTGATAAATTCCTTCGAACATAATCCGTATGGTTTTCTTTGTGGTATTTACGATATATTCTCCAAACACCTGAGTTCTTATGTGCAGATTTCTATCAATAGTTGGTGCAACGCATTGATATTTATGGAAAATTTCAGTTGCCTCTTGTTCCAACGTTTTATTTAGTATAAAGACGGTTACTATTTCTGGAACGGGAACGAATCTCAGCTTCCATGCAAGAACGATTCCAAAACTAGAAGCACCACCTCCTCGGATAACCCAAAACAAATCTTCTCCCATTGACTTCCTGTCGAGAATATTTCCATTGACATCAATGAAGCGAAAATCCAAAATATTATCAGTAGCAGTTCCGTATTTCCTGATTAGGTTTCCATAGCCACCACCGCTTAAGTACCCACCAAGACCCACGATAGGGCAAAAACCACCAGGGAAATACAAGGTATCTGTCTTTTGAGAAATACTGTAATAGAGGTCACCAAGCACAACCCCTGTTTGGCCCAAGCGGACCTTTTTATTACGTCCACATCTACAGACCTCATCTTGGTGAAATCAATCATAACAAAAAGAACATCAGCAGAGTACGAAAGGGCCTCGAAGTCATGTCCCCCGCTCCTGATCCTGATTTCATAGCCATGTTTCTTGGCGCAGTATAGAGTCGTTTGGATAAGGGTCTCTTCCACAGGTGTCACAATGACTGATGGTTTACGAGTGGAGGGTTTAAGGAACTTAATGTTTTGGACATGCGCTTGCCAAATAGGTAGGAAAGAAGCATTGACAGGGGTAAAAATGTCACACCCCCAAACCGAAACGGCGGAAACGTTCGGGGGCGGAGGACGTCATGTACAGTATCACAAAAATTGAATAATAGTAATCAAAGCAACAACAACCATTGTATTAATAGTATAATGTTTACATTATATTTGAATCATACACGATTGACTCCAAAAGTAAATAACAAGTTAAGACTCAAACTACTATGCTCCATCTTCTTGAACCCGGTGTGTGTACCTATCTACTAATGTCCTGAGAATACAAGTAGGTTTTGAAAGAGTATCAACATAAAGCTGGTGAGTTCATAAGCGTTTTGTTTTGGAAAACTGTTCTTTGTTCTTTCGAAAAGTGCATTATGTTTCTCCAGAAAATCTTATATTTTATGATGTAGTTAAGTAAAAATGATTCTTACAAGTTCTTCCTGCGAGTACTTAGTGTATACAAATCATATACAATCCAGATCGAACAAATAATCGATTATGTGGTTCTGCCCCAAGCCCACAACCAAACAAGGAACAGGAAATGAAGCGGAGGCCACACATTCCACTGGTTGTCGGATCCTCATGTACATAATCCTGAAGTATTCACTAGATACTTACAAAGTTAACTGTATTGGTCCTTTGATGTCTATTGATATTGTTCCTCAAGAAAATCCAATATTTTCTTATGAAAAGCATGATTAACCTATTACTTCTATGACTTCTTAGTTCATACTTGTTACGTATAAACCAATATCGGATAGACAATTAATTATGTGGATCTGCCCTAAACCCACAACCAAACAAGGAACAGGGAATGGGGCGGAAAGCACACATTCCACAGTCTATCGGATATTCTTCATGCGTAACCTGGATGCATAAACTAAGGAGTCATGGAATTAATAATGAATATTCGTTAGTTGAATAATGAACCACTTAATTTCAAAGTACTAATGTTTATCCTGGAAAATCCTATATTTTCCCTAAGTGTAAGTTATTGAATTATCTGTTACAAATCGAAGAGTACAAGTATCTACCATACTTATATTGTTTAAGCATTGTTCTTTTTGAAAACCTTGGCTACCACCAGTAAGGTATAGTAGTCTTATTACATAAATAAAACTAGTTGAAAACGTAGAGTCCTATATCCTGAAAGTGTTGTTAATACCCTCCTGTGATCACTTAGTACATACGAGTTATAGAAATGTAGATCGAACAAACAGTCGATTGGGTGATTCTGCCCTAAGCCCACAACCAAACAAGGAACAGGAAATGAGGCGGAAATCACACACCCCACTGCAAGTCGGATGTTAATTTCATATTACACTAATGTACATACAAAGTCATCACATAGTTACTAACCCTGTTGACTGATTGTTAAGTACATTATTACGTGGACGAGTCGTTGTTTCACCTGTTGATTTTTATAACCATACTATGGACGATCAACATTACAACGTACTCGGACGTCGTGAAAAATGATGTTTGTCACCCTAGGTTGACTGTAGCTAATAGTCAGGCTGCGGGATTGTCACTCCTGTATAGATCTATACACAAACTCACGCTCTCCCTCCAGGAGACTCTAGTTACAAGGCGTCTCACACTGTAGTTCTCTCAACGAATCCACGAATAATACTATGAAAACCCTTTTTGTTATTAACATGAATCCTTATAAAATAATATCTTTTATTTCATAATTCATAAGTTCGTTTCCTTAGTTCTGAAAACTGCTCTTGTAAGGTTTGTATCCTAACACGTTTTGTAAAACTGATTTCTACGTTCGATGTATACTAATGATGGAAAATATATTAAATCAAATAATATTTTTCGAACACAAGATTACTTGTGCTTTTACTTGTATTCCCCCCCTGAAAACATTAAAAACTTGGAAAATATAGGGGTATGAACCCACCGTTAATCGTGTGCAAGCGTCGAATCAATGAACTGGAAACGAAGACCCTCGAGTTGTTGTACGTGGCACCTAACGGAATCCTAATAACAATTAAATACATATATGTATCTAAATTAGCGATTTCATTTAATAAAGTGTTGGAAAACACTTGCTTTCGGTTAAGGAATGTTACTGGGACTTGATTGAATCGAGGAAAGCGGGTTTTCAGCCTAATGTACCACTTAAGGAGTGTGTACGGCCGTAAAAGGGAGTGTACGGTCGTGAACCGTGTACGACCGTAGACTGCCTTGAAGGGTGTATGACCTTTGAAGGTGTACGGCCGTGAATGAGTGTACGGTCAATGAAGCTTGAAGGTATACGGCCGTACACTTAAGAACAAGAGTGCTGGAATCGATGAATATCTGTCCTAGATGCTCCGAAATGAACCCCTAATGGTGTTTTTCGATGTTTTACGGAAGAATAAAGGTGCTTTAGGGGTGTACGGTCGAGAGTCTAGAGAGAGAAGTAGAGGGTGTTCGGTCAGAAAAGTGTAAATGAGGGGTAGGGTCTCGTATTTATAGGGGTTTTTGTGGTCGGTGGTGGGTTCCACCTGATGTTGGCCGTAAACGAGTGTACGGTCGTACACGAGTGTACGGTCGTACACGAGTGTACGACCGTGAACCCAAGTCCGGCCGAGAATGGTTGTTTTGATTGACGGAAAACTCGAAATTTCGCGTAGTTTTGGTCGCGACTCATATATGAAGCTCAATTTTATAACAAAATGCCTTTCCAAACCAAAGGAATTCGACGGGGCTCAATAGTAATCCAAATTTTATTAACGGAATTTCGATAACGGAAATGGAAAAAGGTTCGGGTTGTCACATCATCCCCCTGCTAGAGGGAATTTCGTCCTGAAATTCGGATTCCGAGTGGATAGTTAAGGGTAAGGAAAGGAGACGGTTACTTTGGTTCCATTAAATCTTTGCGTTCTTTCAATGAATTCAGATCCTCGCTGGTTGCTTCAGCCGATTATCATTGATGGGTGCGTTGTTCTGATCTGTGATGGGCGTGTAGGTTTAGTTTGGTCAACTATGTTCATCCAACTGGTAGAATGCCCTTTCGTAGTTCTGAGCAGCCTTTGTCCTGAAGTTCATGGTAGGACTGATACCTGGTCCATCTACCATTGTCTCATGTACACAAGTTGTATATAATTAAGATTGATAAGACGGTCGGATGGGTGACTCTGCCCCAGGTCCACAACCAGACAAGGAACAGGAGATAGGGCGGAAACACACATCCTAAGACCGTAGGATCTTAATTATATACCACCTTCGCGTGTACATTTAACATCGATAGGCTAACCGTATCCGTCCCTAGCCTCTGTGCTTGAACTTGACTTGTTGCGCGAGTGGTGTTTCCAAAATGGTCCGCTGAGGGTGCTTAAGGAAGGTTACGGGTGGATACCATACTGCTCGCATGAGTATTTTCGGGGGTTTGAAGCGAAATGAAATTTCGAGGTTCGCATCTAGTTTGTCGTTATGAGTGACAAGAGTTTTGTTATTCGGTCGGTTTAAGGCAAAAAGGGTCTCTTTGGTGACATGTGGGTTTGGTATAACGTAGAATCAGTCGGACTAAGCGGGATGACGTTGTGGAATTGCATGTTAAGTTAGTTCGAAAAGAGTGCTTTGTTAGAACATCGGTGCATCTGGGTGTATGTTTCTGGTGCTTTCTGTTTTGATTCTGATATTACTACTACGATAGTTTTGCATTGCCTTACGTTTGTATTAACTGAAAGATTGTTCTGGTAACTGATACTTGATATTATGGTCCATATCCAGTCCCTCTATAATCGATTGGTGTCTACAAGTCATATCTAATTAAGGCTGATAAGACAGTCGACTGAGTGACTCTGCCCTAAATCCACAACCAGACAAGGAACAGGAAATAAGGCAGAATCACGCACTCTAAGTCTATTGGTCCTTAATTATATATGGACCTAATGTTTACACCAAGTCATTATAGCTTACCAGAAAGAGTATTTAGTCTCTACATAAACTATGTGCTTGTTTAGACGAGTAAGAAATTATTATGGTTAGGATTTAGTTGGGAAACGTACCGCTGTTCTCAGGTGGTTCTGGGGTAGACTCTCCTACAGTGATCATTAGCACTCTTTGTCACTCCCCCAAACCAGGATGACGGAAACATTCGGGGGTGGGTGACTTCACGTAGTATCATAATAGTTGAATATTTGTAAAGAAAGTAAACACAACCATCATAAATATAATTTAAAAGTTACATTGTTGGATACAATACATGTCTCAAAATAAATTACAATATGATGAGTTAATAAGTTTTTAGACTGGCGTCTTAGCGTCCCTTCTCCAAAAGCTGATGATTTACCTGTATTACTGAATCCCTGAGAAATACAAGTAGTTTTGAAAAAGTGTCAACAATTAAGTTAGTGAGTTCATAAGCGTTTTTGTTTAAGAATAGAATCCTTTTTGGTGTAAAATAACCGAGTTTGTTCCTAGAAAATCCAATATTTTCCATATATGTGTGGTAGTTTGAAAAGGTTCCAAAGACTGAATGCATAAGTGTTTTCCATACTTGAAATAGTATAAGTAGATTTATATAAGTACATATAATCACTAAGGCGTTTAACAGCCCCGTAAACCGAGATGTATTAATACCCATGTGAGTTTTTATAACCGTGCTATTGACCCAGACTGCCTGTAACAACGTTCGTCAGGCGTTGGAATGATATGACGTTTGTCATCCCAGACCTGCCGGTCTAACTGTAGCTAACAGTTTAGGTGCGGGATTGTCAGTCCCATATAGATCTATACACAAATATCACGCTCTCCCTACAAGAGATTATGGCTTATAAAACAGGACTTAATCTGCGAACTGAACGGTT